TGGGGGGGGGTTGAAATTTTCGGGGGGGTGTTGAAATTTTCGCAGGGAGGGTTGAAACCTGCCTCCTAGCTCACGCTGAAGCAAAGAATACAGCAGGGGGCAGAGCAGCCTTCAATAGCCTGCAGCTCCGCCCGTCAACCACCTCCACCAAGTCTGGCCTCTTTAATGAGAGCATTCAGCACACACACCCACAACTTGGTTGCTTCACTACATCGGCTATTGCTGCAAGTAATGACAGTGTGAATAAATTGTCAATATTTGCTTGAGATAGTGCTTGCAGTTCTGGAGGGACTCTTAATTTTTTGCATCTCATAGACTTAGCATGGGGATTTGGTTAACCAGTTAAAATTCATGAGTAAACCAGTTTTTTAAAAAAAAATCTGAAACATTTCGGGGGGGGGTTGAACCCCTAAACCCCCCCTCGCTACAGGCCTGTGTGTAGTTGATCCTCAATTGCAGTATGAAGGGGAGAAAATGTAATATTTAAAATCTGGCTGTGAATACACTGTAAGTCCACCCTGGATGGAGCTGAGCAGACAAGACTTTTTCCAGCAGCCCCAGAAAAGAGTGTGGCTGTAATTTCTAAAACCAATTAAAAGCTTTCAAAACATGTGGATAATCTATATGCCTACTAACATGTTTACAACTTCCTGCCAAAAAATGCAACCAGGCATGTCCCAATCTGGCTTTATGATTCAAGAAACTTGGCAGTGGTTCCACAAGCAAAGCTTTTGCATCAGGTAGCCGCATTTCTTTTCAAAAGGTGATTTTAAAAAATGGTGGAAAATAAAAATGGGGTGGGAATGAGGAAGACTATGGACTTGAATGAAACTTGTATGACAGTATCAAACATAGCTATTACCACCAGTTAATATTGTCCTAAAATGAAATGATGTTCTCAGCTTATGAAAAGAATCCTATGTTAAAAGCAGGCAGGGTTAACTGTGTTAATCTGTTGCACTGAAAACAATAAGGCTTGGATGAAGGAATATATTGAGTAGTAAGGAAGGGTGTCAATAGGCAATGGGATGCTAGAGAAGAAAAGGGAATGACTGTGTTCTTGAGGAATATTTTTTTTTCATTTGCTGCTTTTCATCCTACTCAAAGTTTTGGAAATACTATCGAAGAATGTCAATTTCTCATTGAAGTCTGGAACTATAACTTGCTGAAAAACAGTTCCTAAACAGAAAGTAGTTTTTTTTAATGTTAAAGGGTTTATAATACAGAAAATCAGAGGAAACATGGACTGTGATCCTAATCCTTTTTTTTAGGCAGAACAGAATGTTCTTCCAGCAGTATTAAGCCACATTACCTAGATATGCCTGATATTAACAACTGTTTCTGGGGAGTTTTTGGAGCCAAAGAACTATGGCAGAAATCATACTCTGTGCCTTTTTTACTGGCAGTTTCCCAAAGCACTTTTTCCATAGTGGTTTGTTCTCAGGACATGTGATGAGCCATGCCTCTCCATGCTTGAAAAGAGGCTGAAGTGTCTCTCTGGCAATCTGATGAGGTCAGATTGCCAGAGTTCCATCCTTTCAGAACACTTCTACCACTTTTCAGCCACGGAGGGCTGAGAATGACAGCCAGAAGTAGTTTAACTCATGTGATGAGCTTAGTGCCTCTCCATGCTTGAAAAGAGGCTGAAATGTCTCACCAGGGGGAAATTTCGCAATGTGATGAGGTCAGATTGCCAGAGTTCCATCCTTTCAGGACACTTCTGCCACATTTCAACCACAGAGGGTTGTGAATAACAGGCAGAAGTAGTTTAACGCATGTGATGAACTTAGTGCCTCTCCATTCTTGAAAAGAGGCTGAAAGTGTCCTACGACTGGGAAATTCCTCAATGTGATAAAGTGGACAGAGTAAGAGAACAGCTACAAGGAACTAGAACAGAGACTGACTGGAGGGAAACTACTGTTTGGAGTTGACTGGATACACCAATATCAATCCACAGAGACCTCCCTCTCACAGTTATAAAATACTAACCTATATTTTAGTATTTTAGGGCTATTGTTGAAAATGTGGTATAGTATAATTGGGGGGGGGGGATTGTGCAAAGCTATCAATTATGTATTCTGAGGCTCAAATTGCATCTGTAAAGAGGGATTTATATCCATAAAAGCTCAGGTTTAAATAAAAACCAATTAGTTTTAAAGGAATGCTACATTCCTTTCCCTCTTCCTCTCTTTTATGCTACCAATCCTGCTAAAGATCATAAACAGTCTTTATTCCTGACTCCAGTTTAAAACTGAAAAAGTCACCTCTAGCAGCTGTTTGTAATGCATTACACACTGCTTTGTCAGAATATGAGGCCTCTGTAGTCCTAAATTTTCTTAACCCTTGGAGTGAAGTACAAATATGGGGCAAAATGTTTTGGATCAGAATGGTCAAACTGTAACATTCTGAATTAAGATTGCAGCTCAGTAGATCTGTAAGATTTTCATAGTCTGCTTCAAAGCCAAAGTTTAGAAATCATTTAGATGGGGTAAGGGCAACAACTTAACTAGACACACATTTTAAGGGACTGATACCTTGACACTGAAAAGGGGGGTTATGCATTTCCTGTTAATTAGAGTATCTTTCATCACACATTGTGGCAGAGTTTCTTCCCGCTGACCTTCATGCACATGTGAAGCCACTTCTGCTTTTAACTTCCCCCACCAATGTGTATTCTTGTATTGCTTAAAAGGTCACTACGGAAGAATTTTTTTTTTAGAATTGTGAGAAAAAAGCTTATCATATTTCCAAGCATTTTCTGAGAAAGCTGAGAGGAAACAAAATAACTGGAATTGCAATAAGCCATTGCTAGCACTGCCTTCCCAGGTTTTACCCTAAGTGGAGTGGGAGAAGGTGGGCAGCCATTAGACAAATAATTGTGAAAGGCTTTAGCAATCTCATAGGCCTGGTCTTTAAGACCTAGTCAGTCCTAGAGCACTTGTAGACAGCACTAAATTGCGGGTTTTAATCGGGGCAAAAATCCTGGGACTTCAGAAGAGGTCCACATACAAACCTGTTGGTCCCAGGATTTCTGCCTCTGTCTCCACACTTGCTGCTTTGTTACAGGACTTAGAGGCTCCCAAGATGGCCACTGCGGGGACTAAGGCATTTTTTTTAAAAAAAATAAGATGTGAATATTCGAAGATCTGAATAATTGTATAAGTTCAATTCCTGGGATATATAAGTTGCAGGGCCATCTGTGAAGACAGGGTGTTCTTCCTGGGTTATACATGTCTGATCCTGATTGCTCTTATTGTGAAAAGATGTACAATTTTGACTAGACATTTGAAGATGCAGATTTTCTGCTCAGAACTGGGATATTCCTGCACCTGAAAATTTTGCACTTTTTGCCATTTGTAGCTTCCCCCCCCCCCCCCCCGTGTTTTGATGGAACGATGCCTGGTCACCCTCCAGTTTGCTGCGGAAGCTCTTGGAATAAAGGTACTGTCTGCCCTTGTTTTCCCACTCAGAAGAATGAATTTCTGCCAGGGTACATTGGAATTTAACAGTGGAGTTTCTCATAGCTTTTTGTTTAGCAGATTAAATTGAAAGCTATGCAGAAACCCCGGTCTTCTTGAGGGCAGCAGATAAAGTAGAGAAACAGTCTTTCATCTTCCAAAAGCAAAGTCCTCAAAGGCTAGTAAGTAGCAAAATGAAAGCTTCCAAACCATCACTGGATTCAGCAGATGCAGAAGAATACAGACATTGTTAGGCTATAATGAAATCTATAACACTAAAGTCCATTTCTTTCTGCCACTACTACATTACCCTATTAAAACCACAACATATGTGTGGTAGAGATGACCAAAGGTATTAATGAAGAAAACACCAACAGTTAACTTGGGCAAGATTCTGTGCTTGTTTTTCCTCTCCCTCCGTGTTAGCGAAGAGCCCTTCCACACTTCGCATATAACCCAAAATATCAAGACAGAAAACCCCACAATATCTGCTTTGAACTGGGTTATCTCAGTCCATACTGCCATATATTCCAGTTGAAAGAAGCTGTGTGGAAAATTACTTTTGTCCTTTGAATTTAGGGCGCATCCAGACAGCCCCTTCATTGTGGTAACTCCTGCAATAAAGAAGGGGCTGTCCAGATGATGTCCTGGACAATCCCGAATTAATTCCCCACAAACCAGGAACATCCTAGTTTATAGTGAATTAATTAGTGGATTTATTCCACGCCTTCTTGGAAGGTGTAGGATAAACCCACTATTTCTGATGCCTGGAGTGCAGTCCAGACACCATTCCCACAGTTTTCTGGACTAAAGTAGTTCAAACAATTGTGGGAATATCCACCCCCTCCCCCAAAGCCCCCAACCCCCTTTTTGAAAGTAAAGAAAACTTACCTGGCCTTCAGTACTGTCTTGCAGCAGCTCTCCTGGTTGCAGCAGCTCTTCTGGAGCAATTTTGCTCCTCCCGTGCCTCCCCGCCCTCCCCCTCCCCCCTCCCCCGCTCTCCTGGTGCATCACTTTTACATGCCGGGAGAGCTGCTGCAAGACTGTACTGGAGGCCAGGTAAGTTTTCTTTACTTTTAAAAGAGGGTTGGGGCCTTTGGGGGAGGAGGGGTAGGGCTTTTGGAGACCCACCCCAGAAAGTGTGTGCTTTCTGGGGTGGGTGTGGACAGGCCCCTAGGAACAGCCACATTTTTAAAACACGAATGGTCCTGGGATAACCTGCCTGTCTGGAACCATCCTCAGTTTGCAACAAGTGACACCAGCAGAGGAAAATTGGGAAGAGCAAAGAAAAAATAGGGCATTTTAAAAGCATTTAACTCATTACAAGTTTTGATTTTATAACATATATATCTGCCAAATGACTCCTTTGATTTTGAAAGTCAATATATTAACTATAACAATTATCTTTCATACCATGGATAGACAGAAGTGAATTAGCATGTTGACACTAAATAAAAAGCAATTTCATCTGATGTACATATTAAATATTCTGATGGCAAACCTGACAACAATGGTGTAATCAAGACCAGTGATACAATGAAGTAGTGGTTTGAATAACATGTTTGTAAAGTTATATGAATAAATCCAATATTCCACTGTGATTGCAACAGAACTTTCCTTTGGTTTTACAAAAGACCAGCTCTTGTTAAAATGGTAAACTGCTAAATGGTTTGTTCATATGGATTAAAAACTCTACTTGCATTTTTGGATTCTGCTTTGGCACATGTCTTACATTTAATTTTTCAAATCACCAAGAGAGTAAAAATATCTTCTGAAGTGTTTATGAGTTTCCTATATTATATGAAAGCATATTTACAATGAAGAAATATCAATATGTAAAAGTAACTAGTTACAAATAACTAGCTAATCATAATTAGTTCTTTCCCCAATAATATGGGTATGACTGTTCTCCATTACAACTGTAATTTAATGAAGGATAATTTAACTGATTTTGCAAAACTTTTTTTTGCAAAAAACAAGAGTTATTTCAGGAGCCAGTGAGAAGGTTAATTAAATGACAGGGGGAGATATATCATGTGGATCAAGTGCTGTCACGTTCTACTTCCTTGTGCTCAGTTACGAGCATTGACTTTACAAGACAGCTAGGAGAAAAGTGTCTTTTTAAAACAGAGGTCAGTAATTTCATTATATTAATATTAAAATATAACTATTTACTGTAAGTTACGTTTGAGGTAATTTAAAAGCACAACTATAATGGCAAACACTTACTTGGGGCATTGGAACTATGAGTGTAACTTGCTATTTCAAAAAGTGAATTTCCATACCCTGAAAATAGAACAGTAATATTATCTATACTGAACACATAATAAGATTAAATAGTTTCAGCCAAATTCATAAAGTGCAATAAGGAACCAGGTTTGAACTTCTGCGAAGCTTACATTTTGTCACAAATAAAATTAGTATTCAAATATTTTTCAGCACTTGAAATGCCGTCTGGTATAAAAATAAGTAACAACAATATTAAAGCTACAATAATATTATACAAATCAGTCTGTCAATTCAGCTACTCCTTCACATGAGATATTTATCAAAATATTCAAAACACAGATGAATTCTTAATATTAAGCAAGATTTTCTGTTTGCTTAACAATTCATTCCAATGGAGTCTCAAGGAAGCAAATGATATTTCTTCTCAAAACAGTCACAAGACAGATTCAAGCTTTTTGGTGTGATGTCCCGATGGCAGTGTGTATTCCTGGAAATGGATCCCTTGCTTTGTTGATATCTTCATAATTTCTCCATTTAACTTATCATCTTCAAGAATTTTTATCAACCCTTCGGCAATCACATTTGGGCTATAAATGAATTCAGATTACAAGAATTATAGATATTTCACTATAGATATACAAATCATTCCTTCAGTTCCTAAACTATACAAGAAGATTAAAAAATAGAATTCTTTTACTTATATCTTAAATAAGACACTATTGCGGCTTAAGAACTTTAATTCTTTTCTTTACAATGCTGAGATTATGTGCTATAGTCCATAAGTTCTCCCCATTGCAACAAGATTTTCAAATAAACTTCTGTTGATATAAATTGAAGATTTTGAAGGAGATTCCATACAGCAATGGAATCAATATGATTTGTTCCCTTGGAATCATTGTAGCTAGTCATGGGTCCAAAATTTGTCCCTTAGGTTTGATTTGTGTTTCCGTTTTGTTCCATCCATTCAGATCCCAAAGAGAGCAAAACATCATTACATAAAATACGTAAACCAAACTGTCACAAGCATACTCACAACATGAATGCATAGCTGTACATACATTTATGTTGCTCTGCTTAGTATGGGCTTGTTTGCTATGACTTGCCAAGAGGAGAGACGAAAAAAGGAAGTACTCATTTGAGTACTCTGCTATTGAGCCACTCACTTGTAATTGAGGAATAGTGCTTCTTTGATCTGGCAGTTTTTCTTCATAACATGCCAGTGGGCTTATCCAGACAGGAAAAATGTCCCTGGAAGTATTGAGACTTTCCAATTTTTTTTGGTCTTAATTGTATCTGCTTATTCATGGTTTTATATCCAGATTTTTCCCCTTTAAATATCCTGGGTTTGCTTGCACAGAAGCATTATGGAACCTTGCACGGCTACCTTAGCATATTTTGCCAAGAATCCTACTCACTCCAAACATGGCTCATGCCTTTTCATTCAGTTGCAGTCTGCCACAGTGATATCCAAAAAGAAGATATTCACATTTGTATGACACAATTAAAGGAAGGCAAGCAAGGTATGTGAGTTCAGCAACCAGTTAATGAGCCTGTTCTTCTTTGGAGTCTCTGTGACTCAGAAAAATGGGAGATTACAAATCTACACTCACTGGAGGCTGGAACAAGTGTCATCGCAGAACCAGTAGCAAAACTGCTTTCCCAAAAGATGCCTTTTCTATCTCCTTCATGTCAAAGTGGCAATGTAAAACAGAGATTGAAGGCAGGGACCAAGTTACTGCTCAGTTATTCCCATCAGAAAGACCATCAGATGAGTTTTTAAAAATAGTATTTAAAAGTAAACCGAACATATTTGTGAACAATATCTGTGTTCCAGATATCCATTTATTAACTGTTTTCAAGATTTCTGGTTTATCTATTATTGGGTCAGTGTGCCACAGAAACACTTTTGAAGATCACCTAAACTCTTAAGTGCAATTAATACAAAAACACACATTCCTCAGAGATATAAGGAGTACAACTTAATCACTAAGTTGGACTGAAGGTTTAGGAGGAAAACTGGGAAAACAAGTTTCTGAGCAATGTGAAAATATGAAACTTTTGTGTTAGAAAAGCTGCAAAAGGATATAATACCACTCTGTCTTTGCAAAATCACAATAAAGGCAACCTGATATGGGACACATAAAGTTTGCCAGTTCTCCATGCAGAATTAATGATGATGAAGAAGGAAATCTTGATTTCTAGCAAACAAAGGTTGCTGGTAGTCAACAGCTCAAAAAGAGTGTTGTATGTTTTTTTAAAGTTCCATGCATTTGCAGTTAGATTGCTTTCCTTAATTTGCAGTTATTGGGTCAATGACCTGTCAATTATCACACTGACCACATTTCTTGAAAAATACTCTGGCAAAACATCTGCAGAACAATCTGATGGTGGCCTGCCAACATGGTGTACCATCAGATGGAGGCAACAGTAGAATTAAATCAACTTATCAGAGAATGATGAAGAATGGCAAGGAATGATAAACAATGAAGGAGAGTAGATGATATCAGGAAGAGAGAAATTCAGAAAGACAAAAACACTATGAAGTCTGGGTGAGAAGTACACTCAGAGAAAAGAGCTTGCTGAGTTACCACATCTAGTTTCCGCACCAGATGAAAAGAATTGAGTGAAAAGGCAGGAACCACATTTGGACATGCACAGTGTATTAGAGGGCTGCTGCCAAAAATACTTGGCTTATGGAAGCTTCCAAAATGCTCTGCAGAAGTACAGAACAACCTATGTTTGTGATGCACAGAGGGTAAAAAGAACCTGGTCAAAACACACTTACATTCAACTTCTAATTATTTCAGTTCTACAAATTGGTTGCTGCTGTAATATATTATCATCTGCTTATTTATGTATTGAATAAACTTATAATCTATTTCATGATAATAACATGTCCATTAATTCCCTTAGTTTAAAAAAACATAAATGTTATGACATGCATTCTTTTGACTATGGATGCTTTCTAGATACCAATCCAAAAGGCTAATTGAAGTAATCTAAGCTTCAATACAGCCTATTTCATCCACATTAGAAGAAGATAGATTTTTTACAGGTGTCCTCCACAAATCCTTCCAATCATACTGCATGATATTCAGTAGCTTCAGGTTCAGGTCATTTATGTAAAACTGTCAAGTGATGATGTTGTTCCTTGGCTGACATCACCTCAGATAGGTGCATTTATTGATTCACCACAAAATAAAATCATGTTGCATATAGAAATCTAGCAGAGTAGGGACTGCAACAATAGTGTCATGGATCAATAAACTCCATCTGTAGTAAAAAATATCAATCTAATTGTTAGCCGATTGCATCTCCTCTTACAAACCAGCCCGGGCACTGTGGTCAGCAGGGAGGCCCTGGTCTTGGTCCCACCCCCATCCCAAGCACTGCTAGTGAGAACAAGAGAGGGGGCCTTCTCTCTGGTCACCCCCCACACACACACACATCTCTGGAACTCTCCCCCTAAAGAAAGAAAGCTGATCCCCCCCCCCTCCTCCTCTTCAAAACACAACTGAAAACCAACTTTTGCTCACTGGAGGATATAGAGAGGAAGACGATTTGATAGTTGAGAGATCACTGCCAGGCCTCTGGTTGAGAAATATTTGTATTTGGGCTTTCCTGGTTTACACCAGCCCAATGACCTCATTTGACTACATAACCAACCCACACCATTTTGTGAACCCTTGTTGGCAGTTGTACACTAATGTAGATGTTTTGTTTAGATTTAATTTATTATAGATTTTTGTCTGAATATGTGTAGTTCAATTTATTAATGTTAGGTTTAATTTACTGATGTTAGGCTTTAATTTGATGTTAGGTTTTAATGCTACTTTCATATGTGGGTGTTTCTGGGATTTTATGTTAGAATTGTTTTTTATGCAAGCATTGAATGTGTGCCATTGTTATGTTGGAATCCACCCTGAGTCCCCTCTGGAAGATAGGGCGGAATACAAACAAACTTTTATTATTATTAGTATTATAGCTGAAGGCCTCTAACTTCCAGGTTGGGAAAAGCAACTTAAAATGATAAAAAGAACCAATTCAAACTAATATATTTTAAAACATTTCAACAGGCAAAGCCCTAATATTTTCCTGCCTATGTACATTCTCTCTGCTTTTTTATTGTAATATTTTTAGGTAAGAACCACTTTGACAGAGTGGTTACCTTATCTCTAAATGTTGGGATAGATTTCCCACCTTCTTCTTAGAACATGAGTTACCATTTTTTAATTTGCCAATTTTATATCGCCACTTTCTCCTGGGATGAGATCCAGGAATCCTTGCAATATTTTTTTAAAAAAAATCAGTTTAAAATGTTATTTTACAAAAGTTAAAAAGAATAGAATGATTTGCTATGTTTTCAGATCAAGAGTAGACAACTCTGAGATGTTAGGGGGCTTTATTGGACTCCAGGAGCCCCTTAGGGCAGTCACACCCATTTCTATTGCCACTACCCCAGAAAACTTTCAAAAAATCCCCTAGTAAAGTTTGAGGACAGATTTTCTGTGTTTTGTGCCATGGACAATTTTATACCCCACACTGGCATTTTCAAGAAGTAAAAGATTAAAAGGTTGCTTTCTGTTTGGAAAAAAGTTATTCAATGATATGGGAAGTTGCAAAATGTTGTATAAGAGCTCTCAATTTTTTAAAGAATTCTATGGTATATTAGAGTAAGTATAGAGAAATGGTCCTGGAAGCCTTTCCTTTCTACTTCCCAAGCAGCACTTCTCACTCTCAAATAATAATATAATATTTGAAAACAGGGAGCCAGTTCATACTCTCTCTTGGCTTTTCCATGCAACACAAAGCACAGACATATCATGGAAGGTGAGAGGTGATGAGAGGAGAGGAAGAGAATGGAATGGAACAGAAAGGGAAGGGAAGGGAAAAGAACGGAAAGGAAAGGAAAGAAAGGGAAGGGGAGGGAAAGGAAACAAAGGGAAGGAAAAGGGAAAGAAAAGAAAGGAAAGGAATATAAAAGCTATTTTTCTTTAAAAAAAGAAGTTGTTTTGCCAAAGTAAAAGACTGGTGAGCAAAAAGTAATGGCGGAACTTTCCCTAAGAAGGGCATGTTGGCTCCTCCCACAATTCTCCCTCCCACAAATTGGGAAAATGTTTCATTCTAAACGTGACAGCAACAAATGCCATCACATTACAGAATTGGGCATTTTGCCCAACTACATCCAGATCATTACCAAAAACCCACTCCCAAGCAGCTCCTGAAATATATGAAAAGAAAGCTGTTTCCAATGCTTTAGACACATAAAGAATATTCTACCCTACACTTGAACCCAACCTAATGTGATGAATGCAGTGGGTTTTAAAGTGTTTGACTCATCAGTGGTATTTAATCAATGTGATGAAGTGGTAAAACTATGGGGGTCATCCGAACACAGAAACTACTTTCTTCAGGAAGTTAATGCGCCTTAAATTTGAAGGTTTTTGATGTGATTAGAAAAATATGTCTAACAGTTCTTTGAATGGAACTTTTGAAATAATTGTAAAGTCCATCACAATTCTCTCTGAAATATCTTTTTTAAAGAGGACATCTTAGATTTATGATGCTACATAATAATGAATCCAGCTAGCTGACCTAATACTCAAAATAACTCAATGTATACCTAACACTCAATGTATACCTAAAACTTCATACCTATGCAAAAGTATATACATTTGTACAATAAAACAGAAAAATGAAAACAAAACAACTGGTGGGAACCCAAGAATTTGAAGAATACCGATAGCACTTCAGAAGGAAGAATATCTACTTAACAATAGGTTCATTAACTACTGTGTCATGGGAGGACCCTTAAAGAAATCATGAACCATTTGATTCCAGCTAATTGTACCCAACTTTTTACTTCATTCTCTGAAATCTCACTTTGTGTGTACTTTATACTTACTCTAATATACCATAGAATTTCATCATATCTTTTATATTTTCTTTATATGCCGAAAATTGGCCCAAGTTTTCTTCCTTGTCAATTGATTGTAGAATTGGTGTGTTGACAAAACCAGGACAGATTGCATTTATTCGGACACCATAATTTCCTATTGTAGAAGCCATCTACAAAAAATATCAGATATGTTAAATTTTATATGTGGAGTCCAGATGACATTGTATACAAATACTCCAGGTTCAGTTTTTATCATTTCCTCTTATAAAAGCTCATGTATGACCTGTGGAGGCATTACAAGAGTAGACTATAGGAGGAGAAACTAGTCCTTGACATCGTCCAATCAATAGAAGGCTTTATAAGTAGGGATCTAGTTCCCTATGTCATTTTAGTTCATCATCCTGGAGTATATAATACTCATTTTAATGGACCAGTAATCTTGCCCAGTAAAATATAGTGTTCTTTATTTCTAAATATCGCTCATCTGTATTTATAAATCTTATTCTGTTCAACCAATAAAACCACCAGTACTAGATGACTGGTGGTTTATCAAAATAAAATTTATCAAAATTTTATTTCACCTTTAATGACAAATGACATAGTATGGAATACTGTCCGGTATTAATTTAATGTACATTGTCTGCTATGTTAAAATTAAAGAAGCAAAGTTTCTTGTTTAGTGGACATATTTCTCTTTGGAAAATATCGAACACTGTGGACCCTATGGTTAACCATGATTAAATTATTTGTTGCTTTATAAAGCTCATAACAACCTTTTCTAACTTGGTGCCCCAGAGATCTTTTGATCTACTACTCATATCTGATGCACCTTATATTGTCTAAAGTTATGGCTATTAGTAGTTTAAAACTTTGAGGAATATTGATACATACTATAAACCCATGTTTGACAGCTAGAAACCTCTGGGTCATGTCTGAACAACATTTGTATGGGAGTTAGTCCCTCCTTTCCCCTCAGTCAATATATGGCTGAATTTATTAGTTGTAGTAGCAGTAGGAGTAGTGGAAGAGGAAGGAGGAAGAATGGACACACACAGGCAAAACTATTTGTATGTCTCATGTAATTGCTGTGTTTATCACAGAACATAGAGCATGTTGATTGGATTCTTCCAGTCTTAAGCTGATATGAGTATACTACTGGATAGATAAAGATTGCCCTACTCTTGGTCTTGCCAGTTCCGCAAATGCATCCAGTGGGGACGAGGGACAGGGCCTTCTCAGCAGTGGCCCCCTGCCTGTGGCACTCACTTCCTACTGAGATTAGGTCAGCTTCATCCCTCCTGACTTTCAGTAAGAAATTGATATTGAAAGCCTGGTTCTGGGACCAGGCTTTTGGACAGTAGGCATAACAGCTCTTTAGATGTGGAATTGGACTGGAATGGTTATATGGTTGACAATAATGCTTTTAATTGTTTTTAATTTAATTGTACTATCTATTGTTTTAAATTGGTGTTATATTGTTGCATTTGTCCTGAGTGCCCCCCCCCCCCAGGGGTTGAGAAGGACAGGGTAGAAATGCTGGAAATAATAAATAAATAAATAAATAAATAAATAAATGTAAACATTTCCCTTGACATTAAGGGTTATGTGGCCAGCATGACTGCATGGAGCACTGTTACCTTCCTGTCAAAGCAGTACCTATTGATCTACTCACATTTGCATGTTTTTGAACTGCTAGGTTGGCAGAAGCTGGGACTACTTTACATATTGAGAGAAAGAGAAACAGGAAAATTGATTTTTTTCATAACAAAAATTGTGAGATTCTTCAGCTATTTATACTCACAGCTAAGGAACGTGTAAATCCAACTACACCATGTTTTGAAGCAGAATACACTGGTTGCTGAGGAGCTGGTAGAAGTCCTTCAATAATGGAAATAAAAAAGGTAATAAATATTAATTGAAGAATACATTTGAATTCTGACAACTAATACCTGTGAAAATAAAAAGTCTATAAAGGCAAACATTTTGCTTTGGCTCTCATGAAGGAAGATGGGTCATTATTTAATTTCTCAAGATTTCAAAATAATACATAGAATAGCTTTTAAATGAACACTTCAGAAATACATACAAAATGGCATGATCCAAAGGCAACTGATTTTGTATTTCATCTGAGCATAAGCCATTTTTGGGGGGCATGAAACTGCTCAATCAAGACAATTTACGATCTGTTAGGATTTCTGGGAGTTGAAGGCCAAAACATCTGGGGACCACAGGTTGAGAACCACTGTTCTAGAGTTATGGACATTTTTTTTTTGCTAGTAACTAATTCATGTTCATAATTGCCCTGTTCACTCCTCCTTGGGGCGGATCTAGACAGCCCCTTTATTGCAGAAACCTCTGCAATAAAAACGGGGGGGGGGGGGCTGTCCAGATGATGTTCTGGGCAATCCCAAATCAATCTACCACAAATCAGGAAAACCCTGGATTGTGGTGAATTAGATAGTGGGTTTATTTTGCACCTTCGTGGACACCATGCCCACAGTTTTCTGGACTAAAATTGCTCCCCCGTTCCACCGCTCTCCTGACACATCATTACTACATGCCAGGAGAGCTCCGGCAAGACTGGAATGGAGGCTGAGTAAGTTTTCATCACTTTTAAAAGGGGCATGGGGGCTTTTGGGGTGGGGGTTACAGTGTCCCGGTGTTGTACTGGGAAGTCCCAGTACAACATCTGGACACCCATCCCAGAAAGCATGCGTTTTCTGGGACGTGTGTGAGCAGCCCCCAGGAACATGGGTAAAGGGCTATCTTGAAGCGCCCTACGTTTGTACTCCAAGTGTTTTGAAAGCTGTGTAGTTTTTTTAAAAAAGTTATAACTTCCCTTGTTTACTTAAACTGGAAATAATAATGTTTAATGGATACATAGTCTCAAGCTGTGAACTTCAAGCAACAGGAAGTTCAAAGATAAGATCTTGTTTCTTATTCTTAGCAGTTCTGTTACAGTCTTTACCCACTCATACACATATTAACTTGAAACTGGCTCCCATTAATTTCTCCCAGTTAAATGGGTACTGAAGTCTACTATCAGAATATGGTCCCAAATACATAAATATTATCTTTATTTTTTTAAAGAAAGCTTTTATATCATTACTGTGTTTATGCTGCAGATCATACATTAATCCACTGTAATCATAATGACCAGATTGCTATAAAAGTGGGGGAGTTGTATTTGTATATGGATATTTTTTTTGGGGGGGGGTCACAAAAACATATTTAGTTTTTTATTGTAGTTTGCAAGCTGCAACAGTAGAGCAACACTTTGCTAGAGGAATACATTGGAGTTTAGGGGGATTGACACAGAAGGGTATCCTCCTAATCATGTGTGCCAAATTCTTCTGGGACATGAAATGGGGTAAGTTTCGCCCCGAAAGCACAAGACTAGTATCTCCCAAAAATAAGAGGGGAGGGAATAGAATTCGTGTTATTTAACTCCTGAACAACAAGCATTCATTCATATAGGTGATGGTCAAAGGGTGAAACTGGTGTGCTTGATCATTTTTGAGTTTCATGGTATGGTCAGTAGAGCACTCACACTGTGGAAGTCTCTATTACACCCTCTAAATCAGTGATTCACAACATGTGGGCCCTCAGATGTTTTGACCTTCAACTCCCAGAAATCTTAACAGCTGGTAAACTGGCTGGGATTTTTGGGAGTTGTAGGCCAAAACATCTGGGTACACACAGGTTGAGAACCACTGCTCTAAATAGTTTGAAGGGCAATTCTACCATATTTTAATTTTTCTGAACCATTTCAGGACAGGGCAGATCTTTATTTCAACAGGAAGTGGCCAGAAAATCCATTTGCAGGTTTAATCCTGTTAGAAATTACTCCATTCATAATTGCAATTATAATAATAAACTTTACTTATACCCTGCCCCATCTTTCCAGGGGATTCAGGGTATGTAAGCACATTTTCATTGAAGGTCAAAATAATGTTTTCATCGGAGTTGAGCAGTCTTATCTTAAATTACAGTTTTATGTAAATATTCAAAAACATTTAACCTACTGATACCTCAAGTAATGTAATTTTATTGGTATCTATTTTTATTTTGAAATTTACCAGTAGCAGTTACATTTCCCACCCTTGATTTATACTCGAGTCAATACGTTTTCCCAGTTTTGTTAATAAATTAGATGCCTTGGCTTATATTCAGGTCAGCTTATACTCGAATATATACAGTAGATCTTTTTGAAAGTTTGAATGTATGGTATTATAGAATATAAAAGAAATAAATGAAACCACAATCTTCTTACCAGCTAGTGATGCGATATTAACAATAGCTCCTCCATTGCCTCCATTTTCTGGTTTCATGTACTCTAGACCAATGTATGTTCCTCTAATCAATGCAATCTGATAAAGAAAATACAAAGGAGATAACTGCATTTAATACTATCTCAGTCTTACAACAGTCTATTCAATGTATTCTTTCAGGGCATATTCAGTGCTTACCCTTTCATGGCATATCTTTAATCGGATTAGAATTTTGTTCAAGAATCTTTTTTAAACTGTTTACTATTCCTACCCACCCCCTGATTCTAAACAATGTGATTCCGATTTGCCCTTATTCAAGCATTTCAAAGCATATTATTAAATATAATATATATGTTCTATATCAGTGGTTCTCAATCTTCCTAATACCGTGACCCCCTAAAACAGTCCCTCATGTTGTGGTGACCCCCAACCATAATATTGTTTTCGTTGCTACTTCATAACAGTCATTTAACTACTGTTATAAATCATAATGTAAATATCAGATATGCAAGATGTATTTTTATTCACTGGACCAAACTGGGCACAAATGCCCAATGCACCCACATGTAAATGCTAGTGGGCTTGGGGGAGGATTGATTTTGTAATTTGGGAGTTGTAGTTGCTGGGATTTATAGTTCACCTATAATCAAAGAGCATTCCGAACTCCACCAGCGATGGATTTGAACCTAATTTGCCACACAGAACTTCCATGACCAACGGAAAACACTGGAAGGGTTTGGTGGGTATTGACCTTGTGTTTGGGAGTTGTAGTTCACCTATATCCAGAGAGCACTGTGGACTCATGCAATGGTGGATCTGGACCAAACTTGGCACAAATACTCAATATGTGCAAATGTGAACACTGGTGGAGATTGGGGAAAATAGACCTTGACTTTTGGGAGTTGTAGTTGCTGGGATGTATAGTTCATTACAATCAAAGAACATTCTGAACTCTACCAATGATAGAATTGGCTCAAACTTCCCACATGGAATCCCCATGACCATCAGAAAATACTGTGTTTTCTGAAGGTCTTTGGCGACCCCTCTGACACCCCCTCGCGACCCCCTCAGGGGTCCCGACCCCCAGGTTGAGAAACACTGTTCTATATAATAAATAATGTAACATAATGATAATTTCAAACTTCATCAATTTCACCTCTGTGTGGGGATATCCCATTTGCCTACAAAGTAGTACATCTTCTTGAAAAAATGCATAAGGTTCTTCTAATTTTTTGTGCGCTGGGTATATATGCAGAGGCAAAACTGACAACCTTCTTCCTTTGTAGTCTTGAATCCCTTTTGCAATCTTCAAAACTGTAGAGATAGGTTTCTTAAGGATGCCAGTGTAAGTGAAGACTGGGTTTTATGCTTTTTTTCCCCCCTTTTGCTTTAACTGCATGGCTTCCATTAACTCAAAATGTAAAGAAATTTCAATTTAGAGTAATCGGAATACAGGCAAAACTATATCTGACAAAAACTATTTCAAACACACAGAATTTTACATTAACAATGAAGCAATTTACTTGGGGAGGTGAGATGTGCAAGATTGCACCTTACGTCTAGAACTGCTATTGTCCTAGAGCTTATCATATTCTAGAACAGTGGTTCTCAACCTGTTGGTCTCCAGGTGTTTTGGCCTACATTTCCCAGAAATCCCAGCCAGTTTACCAGCTATTAGGATTTCTGGGAGTTAAAGGTCAAAACATCCGGGGACCCACAGGTTGAGAACCACTGATCTAGAATATGTTCTACAACCGCCTTTTGTGTCTCAGATGCTACCTGACTTTAACTTTGATTTGGCAATGGGTCATTCCATGAGCTACCCGTATTTCTAACTCTAAATCAATTTTGAGCATGAATGTAGTTGTGATAAGAATCAGCACTTTCCGTCGCTGCATAAGTACGCCCTGGACATTTTCTAACCAAAATGGACAGAATGAGAAAGAGAAAAGGGGAAATGAAAATGAAGCGAGACAGACAGACAAACTGAAAAACAGCAGGTAACAAAAGAGATTGGGAGATGGTGATGTGGATATATTACATTTTTTGGATGTCTTTTTTATTTAAAAAAAGATTTAAAGGCATCTTATAATAAGTGTAATGTGGAAAACATAACAAAATAAAGCAATATCTTCCCCCAAATAACACACTATAGGAATAGTCAGTTGGCTATATTTCTTCAAGTCACCCATCAACTTGGGGAACATGAGAGAAGCCTCCCCGCAGGATAGTAACACATCTGGGCATCCCTTGGGCAACATCTTTGTAGACAGCTGTTTCTCTCACACTGGAAGCAACTTGTCCTACTGCCCTCCTCTTATGTAAAGAGAATATGACTTGCCCACAATCACACAATGAGAAAATGAAATTGTTCTGGCATAGTAAAAATTTGGTGAGCAAAAGGTAATGCTTTCCCTAACAAGGGTAATTTTGGCTCCTCTCACAACTTCCCCTTCCACAAATTGGGGAAACGTTTCATTTTAAACCTGAGAGCAACGGATGCCATCAAATTACAGAACTGGCCAAAAATCTGGATCATTACCAAAAATCTACTTCCCCACCACCTCTGAAACATTTGAAAAGAATGCTGGCCCCTTACACTTAACATATGTAAAGAATGCTCTATCCTACACTTGAATGTGATTAACACAGTGGCATACCACATATTAAGTGTAGCACTCAGTGGAATTTAGTAAATGTGGCGAAGTGGTGAAATAAAGCTAATTCTGTTTTAAAATCTATTTTTGTTGTGTTGGTATTACATTGGAAATAATTTTAATGAAGACAATTATCCTGATTACATCAAGTGAAATGTACTTCTGTCTACAAAAGGCCGTGCCAAATAAAATTTCTAAATTTTCAAGATATAATGGAATAATAGGAGTGGTAGTTTTTACAAGGTTTTTAGCCTTCTCTGCCAAAGAGTGTTAATGCCAGTCCTGGGGCTATCATTTGACCTGAATCATGACTAGTATCAATATCATGTTGAATGGACCAAACCATATAGTTAATCCGTTTTCCATGTATTATTGAAACAAGGTCAATATTTTTTTTGTCATGTCAGGAGAGACTTGAGAAACTGCAAGTCGCTTCTGGTGTGAGAGAATTGGCTGTCTGCAAGGACGTTGCCCAGGGAATGCCTGGATGATTTGATGTTTTATCATCCTTGTCAGAGGCTTCTCTCATGTCCCCGCATGAGGAGCTGGAGCTGATAGAGGGAGCTCATCTGCCTCTCCCTGGATTCGGTCTCAAGTCCTGCCGGCACAGGGGTTTAACCCACTACGCCACCGGGGGCTCCTTAGGTCAACATTAAAATAGAATTAATCTCATTAGAAGTATTAAAATAATTCCGGTAAAATACAATTAAAAGAAATATATAAAAAGCTATTAAAAACAATTCAACAATAATGCAGCAGCATCTAGCCTGTTCTTTTAAAAACTTTGTTTCAAGAACCTGTCTTAATAAAATTATTTTAGCCTGTTAACAAGGAGGGGATTTTTCTGGTCCTTCTGGGAAAGGAATTTTGGATTACAAGAGTCACCAAGAAGGCTCTCTCTTGTGTCCACAACAACTGTGCCTGTGATGGTGCTGATCCTGAGAGAAGGGTCTTTCATGAGGATTTCAGTCTGGAACAGCTCATACAGGGATATATGATCTGTCAAATAGCATTGGCCCGAGCCATATAATCGCACTCCTAATCGCACTCTGAACTATCTGAACTCTTGATTTCAATAGATAACATCTTGATAGATTAATGCAGGTATGAGCAAACTCAGGTCTGAGAGTGGATGCAGCCCCTTGGGCCCTTTTTCTCAGGCCCTCCCCTCTCTCTCCATCCTATCCTCTCTTTCCTTCCTCCTTCCCTCCCTTCCTCGCTTCCCTCTTTCTCCTTCTTTCCCTCTTTCATCCCTCTCTCCCTCCCTCTCTTCTCCCTCCCTCCCTTCCCTTTGGCTTTTCCTTCCTTTTCTCTTTCCTCCCTCGCTTCCTCCATTACCTCCCTTCCTTTCATCCTTCCCTCCTTCTCTCTTTCCTTCCTATTTCCCTTTCTTCCTTCCATCCTTCTCTCCCACGCTTTCATCCTTCCTTCCCTTTTGTCTTTCTTTCCTTCTCTCTTTCCTTCCTCTTTCCCTCCCGCCTTCCTTTCATTATCTCGCTCTTTCTCCTTCCATCCTTCTCTTCTTCCCGTTCATCCTTCCTTCCCTCTTTCCTTCCTCCTACCCTTCTTTCCTTCCCTCCTTCTCTCCCACTCTTTCGTCCTTCCTTCCCTCTTTCCTTCCTCCTTCACTTTCTTCCTTCAGTCACCGCGCAGCCAGTCCTCTTAGCAGGGAGTGCTAACATGCGGCCCCCAAGTTAGAAAGTTTGCCCATCTCTAGAGCAATGCCTTCAACACTATGCTATGTTGCTACTGCTTCTCCAATGCTACATGGCATGGCCTGACTTACCAGGCCGTGGAGGTTGCGGTGTGGGGTGTTCTCCCCCGCCATTTGGCCTGAGGGGGGCTTCTTCTCCCCAGAAGCCCCCTCTCCCAGCGGGAAAGTTCCCGCGGTTTAGAAGGTGGCCCTATCAGCTGCCGGCCACGCCTCCTGGCAGGAGAGCCCACAGCTGGCCTCTCCTCCCCCGTGGGCACCCTACGGCTGGCGCGGGCTACGGCTGGGGCACGTGCCCCCCACCACAGGATCCGGGTGACCCAAGGTATGCGCGAAGATCTCAGGGTGTGGATCCAGTTTCTGCGGAGGTACAACGGGGTTTCCATGTGGCAGACCAGGTGGGAGCTGGGGAGTGAGTTGCAGGTCCATTCAGACGCGTCAGGGAGTATTGGTTTTGGGGTTTTCCTGCAGGGTCATTGGTGCGCAGCCAAATGGCCAGACAGCTGGAAAAAAGGTAACCTGCTTAGGGATCTAACATTCCTTGAATTCTTCCCTATCTTGGTGGCAGTGCGAATATGGACCAACTTATTTAGAAACAAGAGGGTGCGCTTCTGGTGTGACAACCAGGCGGTGGTCCGGGTGGTCAACCGGCAGTCCTCCAAGTCGGCCAGGGTCATGCGATTGGTCAGGCTTTTCGTATTAACATGTTTGGAAGCTAACATCACCTTTTCAGCAAGGTACATTCCAGGGGTGAACAACGAGATAGCCGATGCGTTATCCCGTTTCCAGGAGGACAGGTTTCGCTCCCTAGCTCCAAGTGCAGACCTACTGCCCGCCAGCTTCCCCCTAGACCTGTGGACCCTTGGAGATGGGAGGCTTGGGCAGGACTGATGGATTCCATCGCACCGGCTACGCAGAAGGCATACCGAGCGGCTATAGCGAAATTCAACAGGTTCAGGCTGGAGGTCGGATACGGCAGCAGATGGCCAGTTTCGGAGGATGAGGTGCTGCACTTCCTCATATACCAGAGGAGAAACGGGGTGACCGCGCATGCCATGCGTCTCCAGCTGGCGGGGATCGCCTTCTTCAGCAAGGCAACTGGGTGCGGTGACCCCTGCCAGTCATTCAGAATCAGGAAGCTCCTCAGGAGTTGGACTAAGCAAGCGCCCAGGCAGCAGGACACCAGGCGTCCCTTGTCCTACAGGATCCTTAGTCAGATCATCCCAGCACTCAAGAGGATCTGCTCATCTTGCTACGAGGTGAAGTTATTCACTGCAGCCTTTACAACGGCTTTCTTTGGGGCCCTTCGCCTGGGGGAGGTGGTGGCTAACTCTAAGAGGGACCTCTCAGACAGGGCCCTGCAGCTCAAGGATGTATCCATCCAGGCCAAGGTCCTGGCCCTCAGGGTGCGCAAATCCAAAACAGACCAGGGGGGAAAGGGGGTCACCCTGTCCATCCAAGGCTTGGATCCAGGGCGACTTTGCCCTGTGAGGGCTCTTGCTAGGTTCCTAAGGACTCGCGACCCATCCCCGGGCTTCCTTTTCATCCACCGGGATGGGAGCCCACTCACCCGCTTTCAATTCATGGCTGTTTTCCGGGCGGCCCTCCGGCACCTGGGCCTTCCCCAAGCGGAATTCGGTGGGCACTCCTTTAGAATTGGGGCAGCTACCGTAGCGGCCAATGGTGGTGTCCCCGTTGACGTTATCAAGGCCATGGGGCGCTGGAAATCCTCTGCCTATTCTTCCTATATCAGGCCGGGCCTTCTCCTCGAAGGAACCCGCCCTGCCGGTTGTTCTTTTTCTTGCACCCACAGAGCAAGCAAGCGCAAGAAAGGAGATGTGAAAGGCTCGCGGAGCAGCTGTGTCCAGCAGCGGCCAGGTGCCAGCACGCGGAGGAGGCAAGCTGAGGCATGGAAGGGCAGATAACAAGAGATTCGGCATTCTGCCTACCCCTGCATTGTCAACTATGAAGGCGCGCTGAAAGGACACGGAGCCAGCATAGGACTGTACTATGAAGGGTTGAGCTCGGGGGAGTGTTTTTCCTTTATTGGAAGCAGCAACCAGGGTTGGCGGCAAAGGGGAGTGGGGTCCACCCCCCTTTTTGTGGCGTGGGCATGGGCCCTGGATCCGGTTTGGTATCCCCCCCTCAGCGGTGAAGGGGGAACGCCTGGTGTCTCAGGGGTGCCGAGTGCATTGGGCCCGGTATTGTGCCGGCGGCACCCCTGTGTGGCTTGCGGTATCGGACAGCAGTGGGCTGCCCGATCTTGATCCAGGACCCATGCATGGCTGCCAACCCTTGTTCCTGTTATCAATAAATGAGTTGTGGCCATTGTTTATCCCAATACCTTGTGTGAGTGGTTTTATTGGGTTGGCGGGGGGAGGTGTATCGCCCGTGCACACGCAAATGGCATGGCCTGACTTACCAGGCCGTGGAGGTTGCGGTGTGGGGTGTTCCCCCCCGCCATTTGGCCTGAGGGGGGCTTCTTCTCCCCAGAAGCCCCCTCTCCCAGCGGGAAAGTTCCCGCGGTTTAGAAGGTGGCCCTATCAGCTGCCGGCCACGCCTCCTGGCAGGAGAGCCCACAGCTGGCCTCTCCTCCCTCGTGGGCACCCTACTTAAGGCTGCCCTTGTGCCCACCAGCAGTCCCTGGGCCGGCAGCAGCTGATCCTCCCACCCACCCTGCATGGTTCCGGGAACTGTTTGTTGTTAGATTGTTTTGTCAGTTGTCACAGTTACCTGTTCTTGCTGTTGTTCATGCGTTTCGTCACAACTCTGGTTGGCGTGGGCATGGGCCCTGGATCCGGTTTGGTATCCCCCCCTCAGCGGTGAAGGGGGAACGCCTGGTGTCTCAGGGGTGCCGAGTGCATTGGGCCCGGTATTGTGCCGGCGGCACCCTGGTTTGTGCGGTATCGGACAGCAGTGGGCTGCCCGATCGTGATCCAGGACCCATGCTTGGCTGCCAACCCTTGTTCCTGTTATCAATAAATGAGTTGTGGCCATTGTTCATCCCAACATCATGTGTGAGCATACTTTTTTGGGTTTGGCTGTGGGGGGTGTATCGCACTGCACACGCAAACACTCACACATACACATACACACACTATGCTGCTCAGAAACCAAAAGGAATACAAATAAAGTATAAGAAGACTTATATATCTTCCCCATTTATCTGACTATGAGCTATATTGTTCTCTTCATTCTTCTCTTCCTCCCTCTAACTTTAATTATTATTTTTTTTGGTCGTGTCAGGAGTGACTTGAGAAACCGGAAGTTGCTTCTGATGTGAGAGAATTGGCCATCTGCAAGGAAGTTGCCCAGGAGATGCTTGGACGTTTTGATGTTTTATCATCCTTGTGGGAGGCTTCTCTAATGTAACCGCATGAGGAGCTGGGGCTGATAGAAGGAACTCATCTGCGCTCTCCCCGGATTCAAATCTGTGACTTATTGGTCTTCAGTCCTGCCGGCAGAGGGGTTTAACCCACTGCACTACCGGGAGCTCCACTTAATATATATACATATATTAAGCCAGGGTCAGGTAGAACTGGCAACACTCCTTACTCATGCAGATGGAAGCGAGGAAATAATGAACTACTAGGACAAAGATGTGGGGAAAATTCTAATTAAATTATGATGGGTACTTTCAAATATCCTAATAACAAGGGTATGAGTAAGTGTTGTTTCATTTCTTCTAAAGAAAATGTATTTCAGTAAGGCAAAAGGTCCATGTTTTATAGATTCATAGAATCATAGAGTTGGAAGATTTCCCATGGGCCATCATGTCTAACCCCTAGCTATGCAGGAAAAGGATGAAGCACCCCCAACAGATGGCCATCCAGCCTTTGTTTAAAAGACTCCAAAGGAGCTTCCATCAGACTTTGAGACAGTGAGTTCCACTGTTGAACCACTCTTATAGCCAGGTCACTGAAGGAACGAAAATATTGTTGTGTAATTAAACTAGTATTAGATTTAAACACCTGAATAAAATACAGAGACAACACTTATCGTGGTTTTTGCAATGTCAAATCATGGTCCATAAGGAGTCAAAAGACAGGAAAGAGAATGTTTAAAGCTTAGCAAAATTACTTTTCTGGACTATAGTTCCTAAAGCCCTTTACCTAGCATGGCCAGATGATTAAGGAAGTTGTCTTCAAAAAACAACTTTTTCAAGCTCTGGAAGTTTCATTGCTAGCTATTCATGTGAACCTGCTAACGGCAAGGATGAAAATCTACTGAACACAGAAGTATTTTCATGATTTACTTCTGATGAAGGAGACAACAAACAGTGGAACTGAAACACTACTAACTTTTTGCCTAGGAATCAAGAAAATCTGGTGGGTAGGTATGAATGTACAATTCCAAAAGTGGCTAATCAGAAATAAAGAACTTATTGTAGTCTTCAATGATGTAGTCTAAGAATATGTGAGGACTATGAAAACTGATTTAGATACAGTTTATGTACACATTTGAAAGAATGTGTGTCTCCAGGTTCATCAAGACAAGGCAAATAGATGTTTCTTTAAATAATCTGTTTGTTAAATCTTAGTTTCAAGGAAAGTTGACACATGTAAGTAATGCTCATTATTAGTCCTTTATATAATTTTGAGTAAATCTACTAAAGGCATGCTTTCTAAATTAAGATTACTGTATTCATTTGTATGGCTTTTAACTACTTACTAAATACATTAATACTAATAATATCATACAAAAGCTGACTGACACAACCTGGGGATCACAACCAAACATCTGCCCTTGTGCTTTGCTACTCTGCTGTTGAATACACATGCCCAGTGTGGAACACATTTCACCATGTTAAAACAGTGGATATGGATCTTAATGAGACATACCACATTATCACAGGATGTCTATGACCTACACCGCTGGAGAAATTATACTGTTTAGCTGGTATGGTACCACCTGACATCCACCAGGAAGTAGCAGCCAATAATGAAAGGACCAAGGCAGTGATATATCTGGTCCATCCCCTGTTTGGATATCAGCCAGCACGCCAACGCCTTAAATCAAGAAATAGTTTTCTAAGATCTACAGAAATACTTCCAGGAACACCTCAGCAAGAGAGAGTCCAAAAGTGGCAGGTTAAAACCCAGAACTTCGAGTCATGGCTAACACCAAATGATAGACTCCCTCTTCGGCACAGAGAAGACAGGGCCACTTGGAAGGCACTGAACAGACTGCACTCTGGCACCATGAGATGCAAAGCCAACCTTAAGAAATGGGGCCACAAAGTGAAGTCCATGACTTGCGAGTGTATAGATGAACAAACCACAGACCACCTACTACAATGAAGTCTGAGCCCTGCCATATGCATGATGGAGGACCTTCTTATAGCAACACCAGAGGTACTCCAAGTGGCCAGCTACTGGTCAAAGGACATTTATAGTATAATGCCAAGTTTTTTTAACTTTGTGTTTTTAAAATACATTACAAATGTACCCTTGGTTTGCTTCTGACAATTAAATAATTTAAAAATACTAAATACATTAATCAAAAGCATACATTTTGCCCCCTAAATTACTGAAGACAGTCCATACTTCCCTCTTCAGAAAATACGGATGCTCTTTCTTTTTAGGAGAAGAGAATGCAATGTAAGGATTGCACATTTGTACTTACTAAATTAGTTTGGATGGTGCGCTCCCAGTCACTTTCATTATTTATTCCAGCATTGTTAACCAAAATATCCAGATGTCCAAAATGGCTAACCGTTTTCTTAAATGTATCTGTAAGTAATTGAAGGATGAGTTCGAAGAAAAAATCATTTTTGTAATCTACATTAAGAGTAATGGCAATCTGAAGTATGAGCATTGCTTAATTAAAGTAAGTGTGGTGTAGGATTATACTCATGCATATGTCATCCTAAATCAAGTATACAAGCAGAGTTATTTTACAGACTTCTCACCTGCTCATTAATGATATTCATTTATCTATTTAGGATCTTTTAGTAGGTATCAAAAGAAAATAAACTGACTGGCATTCTTTCTCATTTCATTTCAAACTATAGCAGTCTATTGTCTGCAAAAGTGAAGAACTTTATTACTTAAAGTAGTTTCAAAATATTCAGGTTGTTATTGTACTGGGATTTATTATTATTGCATGAATGCTAGAAACCTGGTCCAGATTCTAACCTGTTCATAATTACAAGTGAAAAAACCAAAGCGCAGTGGTCAGCTAGGTTCAGCAACCCACTGCAAAGCATAAAATTTGTTACTGGTGTCTAAGTGCAATATGTTGCTTAAGACAACAAATTAACCTTTTCTTTGAAATTCCCAAGCCTTTTCCTGATTTCTCCTTTCTGAAAATGCCCTGTTTCATGTGACTAAGCCAACTATACAGATAATTGAATATTATTTCCAATATTATTGATGGGATACCATTCTCCATTGCACATGAGGTGGAAGCTTATATTAGAGGGGCCAAGACAGGCCACATGAGATAAAAAGTTCTGTCTTCCATAGGGGTGAAAGAGCATGGGTTTCAGAATGACTAGTCAGGGAAGTGGTACCAGTTCTCTTTGACATCCATCAACGGAAATAAAAGATGGTACTCCAACTAGAATTAGACTTTACCTATATAATTTGATAACTTCACCTATATACAGTTGGAAAACTGATTGATAACTGGCAAATAGAGGGAGAAGACATGGAGGCAGTGACAGACTTTGTATATCTAGGTGCAAAGATGACTACAGATGCAGACTGCACCCAGGAAATCAGAAGACATTTACTTCTTGGGAGAAGAGCAATGACCAATCTCAATAAAACAGTGAAGAGTAGAGACATCACACTTGCAGTGAAGATCTGCATAATTAAAGAGACATCACACTTGCACTTTAGTAGAACTTAAGATTGCTGGCACACTGCACTTGCCCTGAAATTCGACATACCACCTGTCACAGCAGCACTTTTAATCTGTACCCATTACTTTGGCCCGGCCCCAGTTTTTACTGTGTTTTGTGTATTGCTTTTATTGTTTTGTTGTTTTAATATTGCTTTAATTGTTTTGATTTGCTTTCAGTTGTGTATTGTTTATGCTATGTTTTGAGGCCTTGGCTTTTGTAAGCCGCATTGAGTCCTTCGGGAGATGCTAGCGGGGTACAAATAAAGTTAATAATAATAATAATAATAATAATAATAATAATAATAATAATAATAATAATAACTTGCAGTGAAGATCTACATAATTAAAGCAATGGTATTCCTTATAGTAATCCGTGGATGCAAGAGCTGGACCATAAAGAAGGCTGAGTGAAGGAAAATAGATGCTTTTGAACTGTGATATTGGAGGAAAATTCTGAGAGGATCTTGGACCTCAAAAAGATCAGTCCATACTCCAGGAAACAAAGCCCGACTGCTCACTGGAGGGAAGGATTAGATGACATACTTCGGCCACATAATAAGACAGAATACCTTGGAAAAGATCATGTGGAGAAAATTGAAGGAAAAAGGAAGAGGGACAGACTAAGGTCAAGATTGATGGATGTTATCCTTGAAATGACTGGCTTGATCTTGAAGGAGCTGAGGGTGGCAATGGCCAACAGGAAGCCCTGGCATGGGCTGGTCCATGAGGTCACAAAGTTTTAAGCGACTGAATGAATAAACAACAACTTACATTGGTGTCACATGTTGCAGAAAATTCCTATCTGCAAAGTCTTAAAGTTTTATTTGCCCCTTAGATGTTTTTTTCTTTCCTAGGATAAACAAGACATTCAATTTTTGTAAAAAAATAAATAAATGCCCAACTTACCCTTTAGATTGTCTTCATTTGTAACATTGCAAGGAAGAAATATAGTCATCTGTGCATCAAACTGCCTGTCAAAGGCCTCTTTGCAAGCCTTGCCTACTTCCGCGTTCTGATCGACAAGGGCTACCTAAGGAGATAAAGCATAATGATCAACCAAGGCCTATAAAGATTAGGTTCATTGTGTCCTAGGTGGGTGTGGAGAGGGGAGGGAGAAGTAGCTTAAGGGGACAATAAGCAAATGTAATGTCAATTTTTGTGAATACAGTAGAGTCTTGCTTATCCAACATAAAAGGGCTGGCAGAACATTGAATAAGCGAAAATGTTGGATAATAAGGAGGGATTAAGGAAAAGCCTATTAAACTTCAAATTACATTATGATTTTACAAACTAAGCACCGAAACATCATGTGTTAAAACAATTCAAGCATCTATGGCAAGCATCCTCACAACCTCTGAGGATGCTTGTCATAGATGCAGGTGAAACGTCAGGAGAGAATGCCTCTAGAACATGGCCACATAGCCTAAAAAACCTACAACAACCCTTTATGAGAACTACCACTTCTCTTGGCGTCCTCCCAGCAACAGTAAGGGTATCCCTCTGGGCAGCTAAACTAGGAAATCCCAACTGGATGGCCCCCCATGAAGGTCTTCCTCCAGGGACAAACCAAGAATGGGCAACTTGGAAGTTCCTGAACAGACTCAGAAGTGGAGTGGGTAGATGAAAAGACAACCTGGCAAAATGGCACTACCTAAAAGAATCCCACACCTTATGTGACTGTGGAGCAGAACAGACAACTCCGCATCTGTATGATTGTCCACTGTGCCTTGCCTCATGTATAGAGGAAGAATTGTTGGAAGCTACAGACAGTGCCATTGCTGTTGCCCATTTCTGGTCAAAAGGTATTTAGCCGCCTGCGCTCCTTCCATTTTTATCGGCTTTATTCTAATTTATGCAATGCTTTTGATACAAAATAAATAACCTTCCTGAGATCCCCTCTCCTCTTTCCCTATCTTACAATTGTATGCTACTACTAGCCGTCCCCTGCCATGCGTTGCTGTGGCCCAGTTTGATGATCTGGAAAACAAAGTAATGAGAAAGTGTTGGTTTCTAATATGTGTAATTTCTTTGTGTTTGTTGGTAAACTGTATTTGATTACATTTTCTTGCTCTGGTGAAGGGAGTTGAACTGGATGGCCTTAAGTATTTTCATAGGGGTTCTGTGTGGGAAGTTTGCTCCAATTCTATCGTTTGTGAGGTTCAAAATGCCCTTTGATTGTAGGTAAATTATAAATCCCAGAAACTACAACTCCCAAATGTCAAGGTCTATTTCCCCCCAAGTTCCATGTGTGTTCCTAGTTGGGCATATTGAGTATTTGCGCCAAGCTTGGTCCAGATCCATCATTGTTTGAGTCCACAGTGCTCTCTGGATGTAGGTGAACTACAACTCCCAAACTCAAGGTCAATGCCCACCAAACCCTTCTAGTGTTTTCTGTTGGTCATGGGAATACTGCGTGCCAAGTTTGGTTCAATTACATCGTTGGTGGGGTTCAGAATGTTCTTTGATTGCAGGCGAACTATAAATCCCAGCAACTACAACTCCCAAATGACAAAATCATTTTTTGAGTGAAGGACATACATTGGGTGGTTAGGTGTCTTGTGTCCCAATGTGGTGTCAATTCCCCCAGTGGTTTTTGAGTTCTGTTAATCCCACAAACGAACATTACATTTTTATTTATATAGACTAGCCGTCCCCTGCCACAGTTGCTGTGGCCCACTCTGGTGGTCATGGGGGTTCTGTGTGGGAGGTTTGGCCCAATTCTCTCATTGGTGGGGTTCAGAATACTCTTTGATTGTAGGTAAACTATAAATCCCAGCAATTACAACTCGCAAATGTCAAGGTCTATTTCCCCCCAAGTTCCATGTGTGTTCCTAGTTGGGCATATCGAGTATTCATGCCAAGTTTGGTCCAGATCCATCATTGTTTGAGTCCACAGTGCTCTCCGGATGTAGGTGAACTACAACTCCCAAACTCAAGGTCAATGCCCACCAAACCTTCTAGTGTTTTTGGTTGGTCATAGGAGTCCTATCTGCCAAGATTGGTTCAATTCCATCATTGGTGGAGTTCAAAATGCTCTTTGATTATAGGTGAACTACAAATCCCAGCAATTACAACTCGCAAATGTCAACGTCTATTTTCCCCAAACTCCACCAGTTGGGCCAAACCTCCCACACAGAATTGGGCCAAACCTCCCACACAGAACCTCCCACATTTGGGCATACTGAGTATTTGTGTAGAGTTTGGTCCAGATCCATCATTGTTTGAGTCCACAGTGCTCTCTGGATGTAGGTGAACTACAACTCCCAAACTCTAGCTCAATGCCCACCAAAACCTTCTAGTGTTTTCGGTTGGTCATGGGAGTCCTGTGTGCCAAGATTGGTTCAACTCCATCATTGGTGGAGTTCAAAATTCTCTTTGATTATAGGTGAACTATAAATCCCAGCAACTACAACTCCCAAATGACAAACTCAATTTTTTTGAGTGAAGGACATACATTGGGTCGTTAGGTGTCTTGTGTCCAAATTTGGTGTCAATTCCCTCAGTGGTTTTTGAGTTCTGTTAATCCCACAAACGAACATTACATTTTTATTTATATAGATAGATGAAAAACTTTTCAATCAAGATATATTTAAAAGAGAGAGAGAGAGAGAGAGAGAGAGAAGCCAGGCTGGTCTGAGGAAAAAAGAAACTTTTTCTCAATTTCCCTGGGAAGGGAAGGAGGGAGGGAGAACCCTAGGCAGGCAGGCGCTTACCTTGCAGCCCTTCTCCAGCAAGCTTTGCGCCAAGGCTTTGCCAATGCCCTGCGCTGCCCCAGTCACCAGCGCCACTTTGTCCTTCAGGTGCATTGCCTGGGATTCTCTCTCTCTGTATGGCTTGCTGTTCCTTTCCTGCGGCGCACGGCTTGTCACTCACTCCCGCTGCCTCTCTCTTTCTCTCTTTGTCTCCAGGCCACTTGGGGCTTCAGAGCCCGAGTCAATCCTATTCCCTTCCTTGCACGCCTCGGGCTTTGTTTGCTTGTTTGCTTTCTTTCTGTGTTGGAGGAAGGAAAGCAGGCGAAGCTCTGCGGGCGAAGTCGGTGTCACCTGCGCGGAGGTTGCCTCCTTCTCTCCCTCCCTTCTTGGGCGCCTCCCCTTTGGAGAGACTCCTTCCCGCGGGGCGGCTGCAGGAGACAGCTGGGCACCCTCCCCCTTGCCTTTGGGCCTCCAGAGGGAGAGGGGCTTTCGCTCAGCCCGTCTCCCCGCCGCTGTCACTCTTTGTTTTCCTCCTCTTGTGCGCCTTCAGGGCGTTTATGACGCACGGCGACCCGATGGCAGGGTTATCTTGGCAACCTTTGTGCCGAGGAGCCTTGCCATCGCCTGATGGCAGAGGGAATGCCTTGGCCCCAGTGTCGCCAATGGGGTCAAACAAGAGACCTCCATTCCTGGAGTTCCAGTTCCTGCAAACAGGCTCATTCAACATGAATAATAGAATCATAGAATCAAAGAGTTGGAAGAGACCTCATGGGCCATCCAGTCCAACCCCCTGCCAAGAAGCAGGAATATTGCATTCAAATCACCCCTGAAAATGGCCATCCAGCCTGTGTTTAAAAGCTTCTAAAGAAGGAGCCTCCACCACACTCCGGGGCAGAGAGTTCCACTGCTGAACGGCTCTCACAGTCAGGAAGTTCTTCCTCATGTTCAGATGGAATCTCCTCTCTTGTAGTTTGAAGCCATTGTTCCGCGTCCTTGTCTCCAAGGAAGCAGAAAACAAGCTTGCTCCCTCCTCCCTGTGGCTTCCTCTCACATATTTATACATGGCTATCATATCTCCTCTCAGCCTTCTCTTCTTCAGGCTAAACATGCCCAGCTCCTTAAGCCGCTCCTCATAGGACTTGTTCTCCAGATCCTTGATCATTTTAGTCGCGCTCCTCTGGACACATTCCAGCTTATCAATATCTCTCTTGAATTGTGGTGCCCAGAATTGGACACAATATTCCAGGTGTGGTCTAACCAAAGCAGAATAGAGGGGTAGCATTACTTCCCTGGATCTAGACACTATGCTCCTATTGATGCAGGCCAAAATCCCATTGGCTTTTTTTGCCGCCACATCACATTGTTGGCTCATGTTTAACTTGTTTCCAAGATCTTTTTCACACGTACTGCTCTCGAGCCAGGCATCCCCATTCTGTATCTTTGCATTTCATTTTTCCTGCCAAAGTGGAGTATCTTGCATTTGTCACTGTTGAACTTCATTTTGTTAGTTTTGGCCCATCTCTCTAATCTGTCAAGATCGTTTTGAATTCTGCTCCTGTCCTCTGGACTATTGGCTATCCCTCCCAATTTGGTGTCGTCTGCAAACTTGATGATCCTGCCTTCTAGCCCTTCATCTAAGTCATTAATAAAGATGTTGAACAGGACCGGGCCCAGGACGGAACCCTGCGGCACTCCACTCGTCACTTCTTTCCAGGATGAAGAGGAAGCATTGGTGAGCACCCTCTGGGTTCGTCCATTTAACCAATTACAGAATCAAGGAAAATTAAATGATTCAAAATGTGATGAAAATAGAATGCAAGAAGTTGGAGAAAGATGGAACCAGGTCAAGAATTATATTATGAACAATAGTAATAATAATAAAAATAAAAAAATTAAATTTATTATCTATATAAATAAAAATGTAATGTTCGTTTGTGGGATTAACAGAAATCAAAAACCACTGGGGGAATTGGCACCAAATTTGGACACAAGACACCTAACAGTCCAATTTATGTCCTTCACTTAAAAAAATTGATTTTGTCATTTGGGAGTTGTAGTTGCTGGGATAAAAGGAGCCCCCGGTGGTGCAGTGGGTTAAAGCACTGTGCCGGCAGGACTGAAGACCAACAGGTCACAGATTCGAATCTGGGGAGAGGCGGATGAGCTCCCTCTATTAGCTCCAGCTCCTCATGCGGGGACATGAGAGAAGCCTTCCACAAGGATGACAAAATTAAAAATCATCCAGGCATTCCCTGGGCAACGTCCTTGCAGACGGCCAATTCTCTCACAACAGGAGCGGTTGCTCCTGACACGACCAAAAACGTTGCTGGGATTTATAGTTCACCTATAATCAAAGAGCATTTTGAACTCCACCAATGATGGAATTGAATCAATCTTGGTAGATAGGACTCCCATGACCAACCAAAAACACTAGAAGGGTTTGGTGGGTATTGACCTTGAGTTTGGGAGTTGTAGTTCACCTACATTCTGAGACAGGCCCGTAGCCAGGATTTCGATTCGGGGGGGGGGGGGGGGCTGAGTCTGAGTGAAAGTGGGTCTACCCTAGCAAACCTTTTGTATCGTTCCCCCAATACCCCCATGCATATGGGATATATTGAGCATGGTGATCAGATCATGATATGAATAAACATAACAGTTTAAATAATGTACCAGTAAGGCCTTCTCACGGACCACCATGAGAATTTCGGGAGGGGGGGGCTGAATTATATTATGAACTAGCCGTCCCCTGCCTCGCGTTGCTGTGGCCCACATGGGGGTTCTATGTGGAAGGTTTGGCCCAGTTCTATCGGTGGGGTTCAGAATGTTCTGTGATTATAGGTGAACTATAAGTCTCAGCAACTACAACTCCCAAATGTCAAGATTCTATTTTCCCCAAAAGCCACCAGTGTTCACATTTGGGTATATTGAGTCTTTGTGTAGAGTTTGGTCCAGACCCATAATTGCTTGAGTCCACAGTGATCTCTGGATGTAGGTGAACTACAACTCCAAAACCAAAGGACACTGCTCATCAAACCCTTCCAGTATTTTCTGTTGGTCATGGGAGAACTGTGTGCCAAGTTTGGTTCAATTCCATCGTTGGTGGGGTTCAGAATGCTCTTTGATTGTAGGTGAACTATAAATCCCAGCAACTATAATTCCCAAATTACAAAAGACCACCAGAAAATACAGTATTTTTTTGTTCGTCATGGGGGTTCTGTGTGGGAAAATTGGCCCAATTCTATCGTTGGAGGGGTTCAGAATGCTCTTTGATTGCACGTGAACTATAAATCCCAGCAACTACAACTCCCAAATGTCAAGGCCCATTTCCTCCAAACTCCACCAGTCTTCACGTTTGGGCATATTGAGTATCCATGCCAAGTTTGGTCCAGATCCATCATTGTTTGAGCCCACAGTGCTCTCTGGATGGATGTGAACTACAATTCCCAAACTCAAGATCAATGCCCACCAAACCATTGTAGTGTTTTCTGTGTGTGTGTGTGTAGACTGGGTTGTTGTGAATTTTTTGTTCCAGAAGCATTATCCCCTGACGTTTCGCCTGCAACACAGGTGCGTTTGGTGGGGACAAGAGACAGGGCCTTCTCAGTGATTGCTCCCTGGTTATGGAACTCCCTTCCTGGCAATATTAGATCAGCCCCCTCCCTTCTGTCCTTCCAAAGGATGGCCAAGACCTGGCTGTGGGACCAAGCCTTTGTGGCTGTGCAATGAGGCAAAACTGTGTCCTGAGATGGTTTTTAAGTAACTTTTAATGTGAATATGTGTGATTTCAATGTTTGTATATATTTATGGTTTTATGTACCAGCAGTGAATGTTTGCTGCATATATGTTGTGCTCTGCCCTGCGTCCCCTCCGGGGTGAGAAGGGTGGAATATAAATGTTTTAAATAAATAAATAATAAATCTATGGTAGGCATCCTCAGAGGTTGTGAGGTCTGTTGGAAACTAGGAAAAAGTGGTTTATATAGAATCATAGAATTGGAAGAGACGTCGTGGGCCATACAGTCCAATCCCTTGTGAAGAAGCAGGAATATTGCATTCAAAGAACCCTTGACAGATGGCTATCCAGTCTCTGTTTAAAAGTCTCCAAAGAAGGAGCCTCCACCACACTCCGGGACAGAGAGTTCCATTGCTGAACAACTCTCACAGTCAGGAAGTTCTTCCTAATGTTCAGATGGAATCTCCTTTCTTGTACGAGGGCTGAATAAAAAGTAATGCCTTCACCTTCATAACTCCTCAACAGATGGCAGTACTGGTATACGGCAGGTACTGGCTTGTTCAGTAGACTCTCCTCTACAGTTCCATTTTGGCAGGAAGCCTTAGCATTGAATGGTTGTGTTGTTAAAGTGTGAAGTATGGAATCCTGTGTAGACGGTTGGTCAATGTGACTTAAGCAATGTGAAGTCATTGAATTCTTGACAACAGAAAGTGTGACCTCAACTTCTTTAAACTTTCTCGCCCAATAATGCACAGTAGTCACATCAACACAATCACCATAAACAGTTTGCATTCTCTGATGAATTTCCTTTGGGGTGACACCTTCTGCTATCAAGAATTCAATGACTGCTCGTTGCTTAAGTCTTCTGGACTTCAGGCTATCCCTCCCAATATTGGTGTCATCTGCAAACTTGATGATCATGTCTTCTAACCCTTCATCTATTCTAGGTCATTAATAAATATGTTGAAAAGGACTGGTCCCAGGATGGAACCCTATGGCACTCTGCTCATCACTTCTTTCCAGGATGAAGAGGAAGAATTGGTGAGCACCCTCTGGGTTTGTCCGCTTAACCAATTACAGATCCACTTTACCTATCCCACATTGGAGTAGTTTATTTGCGAGAAGGTCATGGGGGACCTTGTCGAAGGCCTTACTGCAGTCCACAGTCTTACTACATCCACAGCATTCCCCACATCTACCCAGCTTGTAACTCTATCAAAAAAAGAGATCAGATTAGTCTGACATGACTTGTTTTTGATAAATCCGTGTTGACTATTAGCGATGACCACATTTGTTTCTAAGTGTTTGCAGACCACTTCCTTAACAATCTTTTTCAGAATCTTGCCGGGTATCAGCCTGATGCTGACCAGTCGGTAATTGTTTGGGTTGTCCTTTTTTCCCCTCCTTGAAGATTGAGACCGCATTTGCCCTCCTCCAGTCTGCTGGGACTTCTCCCATTCTCCAAGAACTCTCAAAAAAATGATTGCCAATGGTTCCAAGATTATATATCTGTGGAAGGTCCAGGGTGGGAGAAAGAACTCTTGTCTGCTTGAGGTTGGTGTGAATGTTGCAATTGACCATCTTGATTAGCAAAGCAGGAAACCCCCTCCTTGCATGAAAATCTGCTCAACACGAAAACCTGCTTTCATCTGCAGCCAAACTTGCCTTCTTGTCTTAGAAAGAGAATGCACGTGTAGTGGAGTGTGCAGGCAGACTTGGAGCTTGGCTGCAGCTGAGTGCCTCTTACTCTAGAGTAAGAGGCACCCGGCTGTTGCCTGCATGCCTCTCTTTCCAAGGAGAGTGTGTGTGTGGCGTGGTGTACAGGAAGGTCCGGAAAGCGCATGCATCTGCCTACAACCGAGCGCCTCTTACTTTAGAGTGAAGCAGCAGGTGCTAGGTAAGAACAACGGAAGTACAGCCTGGGATAGGAGCCAATAGGTGAGAAGCTCCCCCTATAGTGGTCCAATTTTTGGGGCCCTGAACCAAAAACAACCCTCCCAATTTTGGGATGTTGCAAAAAATGGATCGGGGCCCCCAACGAAAACCAGAACACAGCAATGTTTTCCCTGAAAGCACAACCTACTTATTACAAACACATAGGCCCTTTCTACACTGCAATATAAAATCCAGGTTATCTGATTTGATCTGGATTATATGGCAGTTTAGACTCATAGAATTCAGTTCAAAACAGATCATGTGGATTATCTGCTTTGATAATCTGGGTTATATTGCAGTGTAGAAATGGCCGTCATTAAAACTAATAAAGCAATTTTAAAACCTGTTAAACTACATAAAACCCTTGGCTCACTCTTAAAAGCTTTCTTCTTTAAAAGCCTGCCTGAAAAGGAAGGTTTTAGCTTGCTGTAAAATCTATTAGCTAGTCTAATCTTTCCAATATGGAACATATTGGTAGTTACTGCAGTTTTAATAATATGATACGGTTTTAATTAACATATGATGGCAGTTTAAGCACTTTATACAGTCATTCTTAAACAAAGTTCAAAAGGCAAAAGATATATTTGATTTGAAGAGAAACCAAAGTATGCAAGGGCCTGATTGACTAATGCAGAATAAATTTGAAAGAATTTCAAAAGGATAGGATGTTAATCACCAGATCAGTTTTCTGGGACAGAGTTAAGTAATAAACCTTTGAGACAAGTGGTGCTGTTCTACAAAAGCAATGAAACTTTGATCAAACTTTGAAAATCTGCTAAATTAACTTTTATTGAATCAATCAATAAAAATAAGATGTATGCATCTTATGACTATATGGCATGACTCCATATGTGTCTGAGCAAATGAAGTTAACTGAAGAAAATATTTAAAAATTGTTGCATTTCCTATAAATTACAAGCCTATTCATTATTTATTTCATTCAATTAAAATAAATTTCTAGGTTACTTTTAAGGATCAAAGCCTTAGCATGGCAGTTTACATAACAAACAAATACTCACATTATAGAAATATAAATGAGTAAAAACAGTAGCTACCAGCAACAAATAGCAAATATTCAGGTCAGAAAATAGTAATATACTAAACACTCTTCCCTGTTAAAAACATAATGGGTCACATCAAGGAAACATATAAGTGTTCCTAGGTACTACCAATTAACTCATACGAGTATATTGACCTACAGGGAGTTTTCATGTTCTTCATGATTTATGTTGACATACAGGGAGTTTCTATTTTCTCAGTGCTACTGGTATATCTTTATTATTTTTTTAAAAAATTCTATATCTTATAATGATTGAAGTCATGTAATGATTGCAGAATTCTGCAACAGAGTAACTTGATTTGTTCTATCTTTTTTCTGCCTGACTTTCTTTCTGTGATTCATACAAAACATATTTGACTTTCTGTTCTACTTTAGACATGCAGTTGCATGCATTTACGGACTATAACTATGATCTCTACTGCCCAATACATTTCTATATTGTTATTTCTGTTGAGTTTCCCCCCGAGATCTGTCACAGGCAAGCAGTTTTATCAATTCAATCTGAGGAAGGGACATCCTGATAGAGCTGACCTACTTGAAAGTATTAGCTTCCCATTTTCAAAAGATAAAAAGCTTTATTTGAACTTCTTATATTTCACAGTACACACCTGTATGCATGTTAAGTGGTAAAAGACTGCTCTGACTTGTAATGAGCACCTACAATTCAGATATAATCCTCCATGAACATAGTAATATGCATGTACTTTAGTGCCTTCTCTCATTTCTTTCCTCTATTTCCATTATTTCAAGACAAGGCTTCTTATGGAAGTGTTAACGTGCCCCCCCCCCAAATCCTACAGGAGTAGGGGTGAAAAAACTGTAGCACGAGTGAACAAATAAAAACCATTTTCTGAATTTGAAAGCAGCAATGTTTTATGGAATCCTGGTTTTATTGGATTATATTGCACTAGAGCTTTTAAAAGAGAGCCAGAATGGTGCAGTGATTTGAGTGTTGGACTAAGACAATGGTTTTGAATCGGTTTAGTCATGGACACCCACTGGGTGATCTTAGGCAAGTCATGTTCTCTTGGCCTCAAACCTCTCTCAACAAGTTCTGCCAACAGAGCTTATAACAGGGCCTTAGGTTGTCTTATGCCAGAAATGTCTTGAAGGCACACAGAAATAGTTATCAGAGAGCACATCCAGACATCCCCTTTAATGCGGGAGTTCCCACAATTAAAAGGGAGCTAACCAGATTACGTCCCTGAGAAACACAAATTAATTCACCTCAAACCAGGAAAACCCTAGTTTGTGGTGAAATAATTTGTTAATGATATCAAAAAAAAAAGTGATCTGAGGTATGAAAGCCACTACCTCCACTGTCTGGACTGCTCCCTCAAAAGTTCTGGGCTTTTGAGGGGGCAGTCCAGACAGTAGTCCCACAGTTTTACAGGTTAAATTAGCCCAGAAAACCACGAGGACACCAACACCCTCCCCAAAAGCCTCTCAACCCCCCTTTAAAAGTAAAAGAACTCACCTGGCCTCCATTCGAGAGATGCCAGAACTCCCCTGGCACATAGCTATGATGTGCCAGGAAAGCTCTGGTACTACTCTAATGGAGGCCGAGTAAGTTCTTTTACATTTAAAAGGGGTTTGGGGGGCTTTTGGGGAGGGGGTTAGAGTGTCCAGGTGTTCTCCCAAAAAGTTCTGGGAGAACATCTGGACACCCACCCCAGAAAGCACGTGCTTTCTGTGGTGTGTGTATGGTGGATTTTTTAAACATGAATGTTCTTGGGTTAAAGGCTGTGTGGAAGTGCCCAGAAAGGGAGTTGCATGCACCTCACCAAATCACAAACATCAGACTTCCACAGGATGTAGCCATGCCACGCAAAGTGATATCAAAAGTGATGTGAGATACGAAAGGCCTCCCAGTGATTGCTTTGGGACTCATTGTATGGCCTGGACAAGCTATGCAGGTGCAAATTGTCTTTCAAATAACCTGACCCATTGTTAAAACCAGAATTTTGAACCAGGGGTTGGAATAAGTAAGAATGCAGAATGTGTACATTCAGGAAGTCCTGGGTCTAAGGGGGTATCAAACTAATTTGGGACAAAGTGCCCTTAGATGACCAAAGTTCACATTACAGATATAGTGTTGGGAGATAACAATGGAGCAGAGGGGAGAGGGGAGGGGAGTTCTGCAGAGTTTTGAAGGAATATTGAGAAGGATGTGCAGGATACAAATAGCAAATTAAATCAAATTACTATAAGATAAATCAAGCCGAGCTATCAGCCACTAAGATAAAAAGGGTTAATGGGATCAGTAATGTATGTAAATATCTGAACACACACAAAGAGTTTTTGTAGTGAGCTGCATTGGGAACCATCGCTAGTCAGCAAGCTTTAAATGACCTGTTCCAAGAGTATGTTTAGGACATAATTTAATGTACAGTAACTTTTATTAAAATTCCAGCTCAAAAATTCACATGAAAGTCCTGATGGGAACCTTTCTGCACTGAGTGCTATTAATATCATGTTTCACAGGTACAAAAATATTAAAATATTGAATACCTCAAAAGCTGTATGTCAAAACAACATGAAACTTTACAGATTCTCTTCTCAGTTCTTCTATTTCTGGTGTCTTGGCTTGCTTTATTGTATATTCAAGAAGTAAATGTTTCTAGGTGAATGTGGATGAGAAAAAAAGCAAAGTATTTTGACAAGAATAGGACAAAATTTCAAAATAAGACCAAGTAAATTAGAGCAAGTTAGTAAAATAAAAGGGATACTCTTCAGGGATAGAATTTATGTGGTAGTAACTTTGTTTTCCCTCCCCATGGTGTAGTGATCCCTTGGATTGCAAATGATGGTGGCTGTATTTGTGTGGGCTTCCTTATATTTTTCTGTGTGGCTTTCCTAGAATATGATAAAAATTATAGATCCAGATCCAATTATAGATCCAGATCCAATTACTACTACTACCAAGTACAGTATATCAATTGAATCAATGTGATGTTCATACTTGTTGACACATTCAGTCAGTCTACTCTAGTAACTGGATCTTGAGCATAGAAAATAGTTTTTATATTGATAAAAAATATTTGTC